GCACGTGCGGTACAGACATTCATAACGCAACGTCAGTGCAGCAGCGACTCCGTGACCCGTCGCCCAAGCGGGGCGGATAGCGATGTGGTGGTGGGGAACTAAAACGCTACGCGGCCGTGACTAGGCACGAAGAGGTAAAAATGCGGTAGACGCCGAATCCAAAAAAAATAAAAGATCAAACGGCCAGCTCTTTTCCTTTTTTTTTTTTCTCTTTCCCTCTCGCCGTATATTCATCTCCTGCTATATATATATATATATATTGTGCGCCTCGCTGAGAGGGGGAGGGGGAGAGGGAGAGTTGAGGGGTGTCGTGGTGCCGCGGACGCGGGCCATGACGTCTCCTCCGCGCGTTTCCTCAACGTGGAGGACAAGACGACAAGAGCGTGACACAACGTTTAAAGAAAAAAAAAATAAGAATTACTGTTGGGAGCGTGAGAGAGAGGAGCCTAAAGGCGGCGCGCACATTGCAGCTTGCCGCGCCGCTAGGAAACCTCCCCGAGGCGCGTGCGGGTACACATGCATGCATGGCGCCGGCAGCGTGAGAGCCATCGGGTGGTGCTCCCAAAAGTGCGGCTTTGACAGGGAAAGAGGCCCCGTGGCCCCGCCGCCGTGGAGGGGGGCAGGAGAGGGAATTTTTTTTTGGCGTCTGGCGCTGCGGTGGCTGCTGTTGGGACCGCCGAAAAAAAAAAAAAGAAGGTGGGGGGTTGGGGTAGACGGGGATGTTGCGTTGCCCATCATGTGCCCAACGGGAACGGAGTGCTCTCTGTCTCCCACAGCCCCGCAAACAAAGTACGAGCCGTCATTATTATCACTATTGCTCTGTTCGCATCCGATGCATGCGGCGGCAGGCCTCGCCCGCGTTGGAGGTGCGGGGATCGCTTTGGTGGGGCAACCGAAAGGAAGGGGGGAAAAAAAGAGGCATGCGGCGGTGAAGGCGGAGTTTATTGCCTCTTTGCTCGCTGGGGGGTGAGGAGGAGGGGGCAACGCACGCGTCCAACGCGAGCGGGCGAGCAAGAGTGAGAAGGCAATGGAGACGCACCCACACACATGTCTCGCTGTATGCGTGCGTGAGATTTGTCTGCCGCCCTCTCTGCCGCACCGCGCTGATGGGCCCCCTGCCCCTTTCCCGGCGGCCAGCCACGTCTCTCCTTGCCTATTCCCTCCCCGCGTGTTGTTGGCGGGGTTCTTGCAGCGGCTTTGTGTGTGCGTGTGTGTGTGCATTTGGGGTGTGCGCGTGTTGTGGTTGCCTCCGCCGCCGGCGATGCAGGGAGGGAGAGACGGAGGGGGGTGGGGAAAATTTTCCTCGTGCGCCCTCTGCGCCCTCTCCCCGCGCGTGTCTGTGGGTGTTTCTGCATGTCTGTGTGTGAAAGGAGGGAAGCAGGCGCGAGAGCCGTTGCCTGCGGGCGCTGCAATGTACGTGCCTCGCTCCTCCCCCCGTCTTTGTGGGTGTCGGTGGCCGTCTCTCTCTCTTTCTCTCTCTCTCTCTCTCGCCTCCCCGCCTCGCACCATGACGGTGCGAGGGAACCAGAATAAAAACAGGAACAAAAACAAATAAAAGAGGGGGAGCGAAGACGACTGGGGATGGGGGAAAAAGGAAAGCCCCTTTCGCTATCCCTTGCCGTGTATCTGTGTATATGCATGGGCGTATCTGTCTGTGTGTGTGTGTGTGTGTGTGTGTGTAACTGTGCATGTATACATCACTAAGATATTTTTCTTTTATTCAATTGCCTTTTGTTGGTTAACGCAAGAGTGAGGACGAAGGATAAGCAAAGCAAATGAAAACGAAGGGAAATGAAAAGGTGGTGTTTGTTTTACTTTTATTTCTCACTCTTTCTCTCTTGTTTGGTGGTGGTGGTGGTTGTTGTTGTTGTTGTTGTTGTTGGGTCGCATGAAGGCGCCGGTGTGTGACTTTGACCCCCTCGCGCTCTCTTTCCCTTTCGGTGCCTTCGCTCCCTCCGCATGCCTCTGCGGGGGCAGCCTTGTTCGCTGCGCCAGTGCCGCCCGCGGACGTACCTCACGCGCCCCGATTACTATTATTGTTGTTTCGCCTTTCTCCTGGCGCGTGTGGCGGGCGGGGGGACCCGCGCAGTGGCAGCGGGCGGCGTTGGACGGGCACTGCGCCCGCAGCGAGAGGAGGAGAGAAAGCGGCGTGCGTGCGTGCGTGTGTGTCTGTAGGGGGGGGGCATGAGCGGTGGTGTTGCGCTGTTGTTTTTTTTTGTTCTTGTTTTTTTTGTTCTGCTTTTTGTTCTTTTGTTTGCCTTTTCGTCTTCTCCCGCCCACTTCGTTCCACTCGCCCCATCGGTGCCTCTCTCCTCCTCCTCCCGGCCTCCGCCTCCGTGCACGCCTCCCTTCCACCAGTAGAGCGAGCCGGCTGCGTGTGGGGTGGGCCCCTACAGCAAACACAGACACAGAGAAAAAAAAAAAAGAAGAAGGCTGCCGGACGCACTCGCCCCCGTCGCGGCGCCGCAGCGCAGGTAAATACTTAACCCACACACCCATACTTGGCCCCCGCAGCTCGCGCGTGCAAACGACGCGTGTGTGTGTGTGTCAACAATGTCGTCAAAAAAGCTGCTTCTGCTGGGAGGCACCGGCTTTGTGGGGACGCGCGTGCTCTGTAAGGCGCTGCAGCGTGGCTGGAAAGTCATCTGCGCCTCCCGCGGCGGACTGCCCCCGGTGGGGTCCCCGCTTCTGGACGAGGCGGTGCTGCGGCACCACCACCCGCCAGAGCGGGGCCCCGCGAACGCCGCCGAGGACAACACCGCAGGGCACATCACGACCTTCCAGAGCCCCCTGGAGTTTGTCTCGCTCGACGCCACGAGCCGGGCGCAGGTCTTCCACTTTCTGGAGGACCACCCTGACGCCACGGCCGTGGTGAGCTGCATTGGGCGCTTGACGCGCGACCACGTTGAGGCTCGACGCATCTGCGGGGACGCCAACATCAACATTGCCGCTGCCCTGTATGAGCGTGGCAAAGGGGTGCGGCGGGTGGTGCTGGTCTCGGCAGCGCCGCTCCACGAGTCCCTCCCTTTCCTCGGCAGCAGTTGGCTGCTAAAGGGATACTTTTACGGTAAAAAAATTGCGGAGCGGGCGATGCTGGAAAACCTAGGCGACCGGGCGGTGGTGCTTCGCCCCGGCTTAATCCACGGCACGCGCTACGTGCAGCTGGGCGAGGGATTCATCCCGCTGCCGCTCTGGCTGCTGGGGCACCCACTGGAGGCCGCCCTGCGACCGCTGCACCGCGGCGGGTTGCTGCTGCCGCCGGTGGACGTCGACGTCGTGGCGGAGACGGCGGTGCGCGCGATTGCGGGGGAGACCCCCGTGGGGGTGTTGGACTACTACAAGATGCGGGAGCTCTGCGCGGAGCGGCTCCCGCAGGAAACCCCGGCAACAAAACAGAATTAGGCGCGGCTTTACACATGGCCGCACACATACATGCCTACCCACATTTCTTTGCAATGAAAACTGTGGCTGCGTAGTTGAACAAAAGAAAAAAAAACGGGCAGCCGGCGGTGGCGACAGTACAAGATAGGAAGGAATCTTCTTGACTTTACGAATGCATTGCGGCGTCCACCCAGCCGTCCCCCTCCACCCCCTGCTCTTACGGCGCCCATCTGTACACAGCCTCCTTGCCTCCCTCTCGCTCCTCATGTGATGCTCCCACGCCTTTCTGTTTCCACTGTGTTTCGCTCGTCTCCCCTGAATCCGTGCAGCGAGGACGCAAGGAAACCCGAAGCAAAGCATACTCTCCTTCACACACTGTCTCTCTCGTTCCCCCCTCCCCCTCCTCCTCCATTTATCTAGATGCGGCGTCTGGTCCGCGGGACAGTTGTGCCCCCCCCACCGATCGTCGACGTTCGCCGGGGCAGCTCCACCTCGTGGGTCGCGCGACTTCTCTACGGCGCCAGGGCCTCGCCTCTCCTCGGCGCCTGGGGCGCCTGCAGCAGCGAGGAGGAGCGGCAGCTCGACAACACGGCGCGGGAGCTGTACTGCAAGGCCCTCACGCACGCAAGCGGGGGTGGGCGGCTGGCGCGAGACTGGATCGCCGGCTGCTCCGCCATTGTGTGTCCCTCGCAGAACCTCGTAAACCTCGCGCTCAAGCACCACGGGACGGAGCAGGACGTCGAGCGCTACCGCGAGTATCTGCTCCTGGCGCTCCACAGGAGGACGCAGGCGGGGTCGGATAAGAGGGGGGCCGCCAACGGGCTGGGAAGCATGCCGGAGGTGCGGTGCTTCGTGTACGACGCGACGCGTGCGGCGTGCTTCCACCGCTACCACAAAGTGCCTGAGGAGGACCGGCGGAGGCTGGACACCGTGGCGCACCGCCTCGGCGTGGACGCGGAGGTGAGTCGCGCCATCTGGCGTCTCGTGGAGAGCGAGGGGACCGTGGAGCGGGAGAAGCAACGCGCCCTCGAATACCCGTGGAGCGACTGAGCGGCAGCCGCGTTTTTTTTTTTTTTGTACCGCCGCCGCCGCCCACGCAACCCAAAAGGTGGGGGGGCGGCAGCAACGACG